GTGACCAACAAACACACTAGGRAAGTATTTCATGACCAGTGATCGTCCAGGAAGTAGCATTAGAAGAGAAACCAATATCATTTGAACTTTACCAACTTTAAAGCTCTGTCGAGCAGCTTTGAACGCAGGGTCATCATAATCCATTTGTGCATTGGACTGGATGCCAAAAAATGTCGCTAACAGAGCTTCCATTGTTAAAGCTTGATGGTACCTMAATTGGAAATTCAGTAGTACTGATTATATATATTAGAAAACTAGTCATRAATTAAAAGAATTAGCAATGTTTTTTTTTAGAGCGACAAATCAACCTGATTTTGTTTTTCCTTTACTGAAAATAATATACGCCGACGACGAGTAACGCGCGCTTGTAAAGTAGCTCATCTSCGAAGAGCGCGTTTTTCCGATTCATTGGTTGAATAGAGTAAGAGTAAGAGAAMTGAAGATCTGCGCGCAATGGTGGTATTTGTTAAAAAKCTACTTACTCATAAATATCAATTGTCYTGTTRCCATCCGCGACTTGMTGCAGCTTGCTRTTTAATACATCACATGACCGATTTATTAGAGGAATCATCACCTTTAATCTATGAGTACTGAACATAGGAGATAATGTTGTACGAATACGATGCCATGTCTCTCCTGGTGCATTGGCCAACATACTATCAAATGGATCAGGTAGACTAAAAAATTCCTGAATAACAACAATAACAACAGCACAAGTTTAGAGATAATGCATCCGAGTTAATGTTAAAACGACCAACCCCCGACTCCCGGGCACTACCGAGAGAATTAGAAAGAGTCAATAATATTAGTCCCGGMATTTCCCGACCCTTAATAAAATACCAAAATTAAATTAAATTAAATTAATACCCTTAATTAAATACCAAAAAAGGCGGCAAAAAGATTATTGCCTTTGCTTTAGACATTAGTTCGCCCGTCTTTTCGATGACTGTCCCCGGCTAAAATTCGAGTTACATGTATGTTGTCATTGGTGTGTCTCACACACAATCATCTATCTCACTCCTATAACTCTTTTGATTGCTTACGCAATCTTCAAGTTAAAACGGAAGGGGTAGAAATATTTTTCTTTTTCAGGCTTGATCAACCACAGATTTTTGAGCGAGGAATTTTTTTACCACAGCACTATCAATTTTATTAAGTTAGTTATTATATTAATACTGATCCACCCCAAAAATCTTATATTGCCATTGTACAAAATCTAAGTAGTATTAATTTGTACTAAAAGTGGACCTGGGKCAAGACGGTATCGAATGCTTCATTTGTCACACTATGCATATCTATATATGGGAATATTGAGTTCCCCTGTGGTTCTTTAGTAATGTTTTTTGCAAAATTTCCATACGTGTACATATTTATATTGAAGTGTTTCATTGGTATATGTATTTTTTAATAACAGATACAAATGAGAGTGCAATAACATTTTTTTAGACAATTGAAATGTTGAATGCAATGATGCACTCATAAAATGTAAAAAGACAGCGGAATGTTTTTTATACATTTTGAATAGAATAAAAAACTAACTAATATAATGATTTTAATCATTAAAAAAATTCAGTTGTTTTTCCAATGTCTTCATGTGGTGCAAGAACTCCTYAGCTGAAGTGAATTGATATGTGTAAGTTATAGTATTCTTTTTCTTCGTGTTATTGATTTGGATTCAGTTAATCATGGTAAATACTGGCATTGAAAGTGCAGTTAGTCCACTACTACTGTGTTTAGTCAYCATYGTCATASTCTTGTAACACGGCAAAACGATTGCGATGACAAAAGGTAACCTGTTCCTCCTTGTTGAGTACTCCTTGCAGCCTTTGGTTCAGCCCAACTGTTGCTGCATTGTATATCATCTCATATACACGTTGATCGTCCATTTGGTTGAAAAATTCGTTCAGTGGCTTTCCTAAACAAAGAAACAGTATCTTAAATATCACTTCTGAAGTAAATACAGAATGTATTCCAGTCAAAAATGTTTTTGAAATATCAAAAAGAATAAAAATCATAAAACAATCCATAAATTGTCATCGTTTACCCTGCGAGAGCTCATGCATGATCATTTGAGATGCGGCGCCATTGTACAGCGTTGACATGTCTGGATCTGGAAAAGCATTCAAAAGTATTTGGTTCAAGGACATAGTCTCAGCCATGACAGAATGCCATTGTGCCAAGCTATGCTGCAAAGAAATATCAAAATTTGGCATCTTCTCGATGGTTTTCGTTTGAAGGTGTTGCAAAATCAATGCCTGCACATGTGTCTTGGTCACTTTTGGATCGGCGTGTGCAATCCAGTAACGAATCGACATTACGAAGAGTTCTTTGTTTTCAGGCAACTCCACAGTTGAATCCGGCATAAGAATCGATGACATCAACATTCTTCGCCTTTCTTCTCCTTGCGTTTCAAGATTTTCAAGGTTGGGTAATTCAACGGAGTCTCTATCCGGTTGAACAGTACGTTTCAGTAAGCTCCGTCCGCCATCCTTCCGGTCCCATTCCGTTACACCTTCTTGTCCTGGCTTTAATACAATACCATATATGACACGTCTCAATTTTTCARAGCATCTGTTARCTGATTTTTGCTTGATATCTTCTATTTGGAGTGTTAAGATATTTTGCTTACTAAAGATGACACCCATGTATTTGGAAGGGAAGTTCCCTTTGCGATGTCTGTCAATCACATAYCCAGGAACTGACTCGGCCTCAGTCACTGATACTCCATCCTGAGATCCAACTATATCGTATTCAGCCATAGACTYGGACAGAGACTTCTTTAAACTTTCTTTTTCGTTGTCTTTGGGAACGATGTCGAGCACCGACTGCAAAGCTCTCTCAATACCACCTTCCTTGGACTTTTGAAGAAAATGAGAAATCTCATCAGGCGTACATGGTTGAATAGGACTCAGAGACTTCTTAAAGGGCGTTAAAATGTCTTCCGGTACGTAGTCATTGCCAAGCAAGGAAGCTAATAGTGGCAGAAACGACGAAGGAATTTTCAGATGAAGAGACAGTTTGTCACGAGAAAAGCGTCCATGMCTCAAATCTTGGTCATTATAATTAAACTTTTTCAAAGGTATATATCCTTCTGGAAGATCATAGATAAAGAAGTCGCCCTGTCATTGCTTATCACTGGACAGTTTTTCTGGTTGGCAAGGATTGCAATTTTCTGGTCAGCTTCCCTAAAAAAATAATTAAAATGGCCGGTTGAATAGATCATGACCAGAGTAATGCATATGACCACCTTCAAGTTACTTTGCAGGTTATAATATAGATTTGTGTAAAAGTCCTACTGTAAGGACAGACCCATATGTTTTTATCGTTAAAAAAAATGAACAACAAGCTTCAAAGACTTGAATTGTTATAAAATAAAAATGAAAAAGGACAAATTTTACCAYAAGTTTAGTCTCTTAAAAATGAAAAATTCATATATGTCGATAAAAGATATCAAGCGCAGTGCGAATACTCGTACACGYTCTCACACATTCACTTTCACTTTCATATTCACTTCCGACTTCCTTGACGTGATGTAAACTCGATATACAATAATTCTGATACATCCCCTCTACCAGCAAACTTTTCGATTATTAATAATATTAATAAAATAATAATGATAATACAATTGACATAAACAACATTTGATGACTCGTATAGTATACAAACAACGGTCTGATACACCGTTTCTACACTAGCAAACTTCAAGAAACTTCACATGGATATTATCATTAATATTGGATTGTTGATGACATGCAATTGACACATCAACTTCAAATCAATTCCTACCTATCACAGACTGTAAACTCTATTCCCAAGCTGCGTAGTTTCGTTATAAATGTCATCTTTGCAAGAGGAGATAAGACTTTAGTTTCAGCAGATTTTCCCGATTTGCCTTTGGATAAATTGTAGCACGTCTCAATCTTATCCTCAGTGCGCTTGATGACTGTTTCAAGCTTTTTATCGACTGCTACAGTAGCGCCATCCAAAACGACGTATGGTGTCACRTTCTGACCAGCGAAGTTAGCAAAGAACTTTTCTATGTCTCTAGAGAACTTATCGAACTCACCGCCAGCGCGACAGTCAGTTTGTTTATAAAGAAAGAACATCAAAGCGTTGCCATCGATTATCACTGGAGTGTTTTGTAAACTTTTTTCTTGTGTCCATACACTTGGTACTTTATCGACGAGAGTTGTAAGCAATCGTATACCCATGATTATTATTTCATATCTGTCTTAATAGAAATTTGCATGCCAATAACTCACAGAATTTAATAAATTCATTAAGTGACAAGCTTTTCCTCGAATTTCATTGGATGATATTCATTCATTCATGTGTAAAAAATACGACCGCTAATTTATATCGTTCCCTGGTGCATCAATTTTCTCTCATTTTTTTAGCTATATAAATAAGATTACAAATCTATGCCATTTACTTGATGCCCACATTTAACTATACCTACCATGCACATTTTCTTAGACATTCAGATTTTTGAACGGCAATTGTGTGCAAGTTGTGCAATCTCCCAAAAAGTTTAAGCAAGAGCTGATTACTTTTGAATAATATCGTGCAACACAAAAGCCTCGCCCGAGAAACAAGCAAACTCAACTTTGCATGTTATATATGTTGAATGATGTGAATATGGAAGATTTATCAATATTCAACTGTTTTTAAACTTGCTAGTAAATAACACCTGACACTTTGGTACATATTTTCGGAACACTATTGCGCCAAGAAAAAGTATAACGAAGGCAGCAATAAGTAAATGCCTATGTATATAATATATCTTCCTTTAAGACGTGCTGAATATTAATAGTATGGGCTCCGGATATACTAATGGGAAAAAGTACCAGAAAATATATTTTCATATACAGTTCGAAAACCTGGTATAATAAAAGAAAAAACTAATGAATGGACCAGTGGATCGGCCTGTCATGAAACGTTTGACAAMCAGGAAGTAGCTGAAACTACAGAATCAAAGTATAGTTTAATGTGGTAGGRACAATAGATTCAAGAAATCTTACTTTGCTTTGGTTCGATCTTTGCTGTTTGCTCTCTCCTTTCAATACTCACCGGTCGGTCGTGAAAGCTTTGGAACTCCTTGACAAGAACTTCCTTCAACATCTCRGGGTCGTTAACAGCTATGGATGGTTTACCAAATAAAATAAAACAGAACAACCGACCGAATKTCCTGTAGTAGTCGTCTAACTGCTTGTGTATATGCCCTTTGTGCATGATTAAATCTAGTAAATGTCCTACAAACGGCAATGGAGTCGGCCCTGGAATATTCCCCACAGCAGCAACAATCGTAGATCGTCGATATGGAGCGATTCCCCAGAGGTACAGTATAGTGGCGATGCACAGTGATGCAGAAATCCCCAACCAATGTTTGAATAAAAAAGCTATCAATCCCTCCATGTTGTTTTGCATTGATTTAGTTTGATAGGCATTGCGTGACTTTTTTGATGCGTGATGAATTCTTAATTACACAGCACTTCAACCTATCATCGCTGTTTGTCCTGTTTAGTTTCGGTGCTCAGTAAAGGTGTCACTCAGAGTTTCCACCGAAAAAACTGATTCCGATTGAAATGGTTTCTAAATAAAATCTTAAAATTGAATATGGTTTTTAAAAAATGGTTTTCAGTAATAACTTATTAAGGGACTGCGCAATATTTATCAGGAGAGAATTTATTTATTCATTAATCGTCATCGTAATCTTGAGAAGTTTTCGAATCTGACACCGTTGATTTTTTAGTTTCAATCAACGTTCTAGTTAATTTTAGACGTCGCCCCCCCCCCCTCCCCTCCTCTTTAAGCACATAAAATTAGATGCTGCACCCCCTCTAGATTCTCAATCCCYCCCTCCTGATAAATGATTGCGCAGTGTCTAAGCTTCTATATACCTAATTCATTCGAAAGACTTCGAGATCTATACTTCTTAATATTAAAAGTTACAGGAACTGTATCTCATATCTATCAATGTAGAGCCCGTCGCTTCAAAAAATTTTTTGTAAATAATAAGAACAATAGAGCAGTGAGTTGAAATCTCCGGCAGTGCTTYTTAAAACTGGCTGGTCCTCAAAACATCACAGTCGCTATTTGTTTTTCCRCGGACAACTATATCACAGCACCTGCAGTAACATGTCCACGATGTTTAAATTGAGTCACAGATATTTATAWAATATTTGGTATGTTTCGACTTATGTATTTCACGCAAAAGTAGTAAACATGCCTGGTATGTTCAACAACAAAGGATTGACTAGGCTGTGATGGGTTCTCTTCCAGATAAACATGAATGCAARTATGAAAAACTCTACAAGTTGACAACCATTTTTAGTGCAATCAATACAATGATTTTTTAATGTAATATTCTCGTCAAAACAGCCTTGCAGTTATAATAACTCGCGATCGATAGGTGACTTCTTTCCTAGTTGAAAAGTGTTATATATTTTTTGCATGTGGATAGAAGATCTGGAGTAGCAGATGGGCGTGACACCTATATCCGCCATGGTATGACCGTAGTATACTYCAACTCATGACTCATGAAATGACATACAATTTTCAACTGACATTTTATCATTAATTTTTAACACATGGATTTATAACATATATGTACATGTCCCCTTTCCCTATATTGTTACTTGCTACATCAGTCTCAGGTTATTGATGAAGCAGCTCGCTCTTGAATGTTYCCCTGACTTCTTTGCGGTGCTTGAGGTTCAATCCTATTGGAGAAACGTATTTTACACTGAAACATGTTATTCAATGCTTGTCTAAATTGCGAGATACGAAGAGCGTAGATGAAGAAGTTGGCAAAAGAATTGGAATACATCAGCACTACTAGTGCCATATATACATTCGCTAAAACAACTCCTCGGCCTGCTATTCCCATCCTACCCGCAACAAAGCGTGGCAACCAGGTTCCAAGTGCCATGCAWGTAGCCATTTGCATGGTTTTTGAGAGTCTTATACTGTTTCTTAGTGAGAAATTCGATTGGACGGTAGAAAAGAGCTTAATTTTGATGAATATTACAGTATATGAAATGATCATAACGATGATGGCTGTTGAAATGATGATAATCATAAACAAATTCCTTATCATGTTCGAACAGTCAGTAAGGTTTCTGATAAGTGCGAACGGCACAGAGATGCACCACGATGTGACAATTGCAATAAAATAATRCCTCTTCTTAGCACTGCGAAAGCGCCATGGAGCCACTATGGCCAGTGTCCTATCGAGAGCGATTAAGGCCAAGGAATTCAAGGAAGCAAATGATGTAAAAACAGCCAAAGTGAGAGAAATCTCATTAACTACGATCCCGTTGCAAGGAACAAAAAGAAACTTGTTATAACCCATCACCTCGATGGAGTTAAAAATTGCAGCTACTCCAACGAAAASATCAGCAACKGTCAGGTTTACGAGCAAGTAAGAAGACTTTGAAACTGCTGTAAAACGCCTTTCCAAAAAAATACGAATAGCGATGATATTACTGAAGATAATAAGGAAGGCTTCGATTACCAAAACCACCGCCCAAAAAATCTGCGTTTTAGCTCCRAATACAGGTTCTTCCATCGTAGTTTTCTCCTGGAAATAGATCACTCCGTATGGCCGGGTCTTACTAACAGTGGGCAATWGAATATTTTCAAGWAACATCTGCCATGGCACTTTGGACCTTCGTGACTTGGAGCGGCCAATGGTTATTATCAAAAACAGTTTAGTTGTAGCACGTTATAGATGTTATTATTATTATTGTAATTATTTTCACACATAGTACTTGATAGAACTCAAGCATGTCGTTTATTTGTCAATACAACCTCTTCATTCTCCAGATACAACGGAAATGTTGTCGGCGGCACTCAACAATAAAACTTTTCTTTTTCCCCTCTCTTCTTTGATGTTTTGAGAGCTTCTCTGATCTTCCATGAATAATGACACATTTCTTTTAAAATACGCACTCGCACGAGTGGTAATATTTAAAACGCTATATAAACAATATAGGTCCTCAAGTTTTAATCAGTTTCCTGTGAACGGAATGCCATAACCGGACAATAGTCAGTTTGCATTTCAAAATTTCCTGCCCAGCACGAGAGATTAAGGTGCGGCTTAAATGCAATGTTTCTTCTAGTAAAGATTTAAAATAAACAAAAAATTGAGCAATTTACTGTTCAGACATCCTCAATCGTCAAAACAATTTGCTTATTTTGAGAATTTCGTCGTACACAGGCATATWAATTAAAATAAATCAATTTTGCACAGAAGAATCAAGAAGTATTAATAATTTGCTTATTTTTCTGAAATGCCAAATATTTTGAATTTATGTAGAACTCCTTGCTTTCATTATATTCTAAACATTGGCGTTTTGATTATACTGCGTCACAGATAAAAACAAGTTTGTCCTTTATCGTAAGAATAGAGAAGCTGATAAACCCTTTTAGCGATCTCTTTTACGCTGTGTTAGCCTCAAAACCATGTAATAAATTCTTTTATTCACAACAGCCCTGTGTAAATGCAAGAGATCTGTGAGTGTAGAAGACAATGGAAATAGTTTGAAATGATCACGAGTTTTATCTACATTTCTGAATATTTTAGCACACAATTGAGGCTAACACAGCGTAAAAGAGATCGCGAAACTCAACTATTGTCGATAATAGAATATATTTAAAGATTAAAACTCAATACAGCTCAAGTAAAACAGAATTAGAGTTAAAAATATTTTAATAATTGTTCCTTCTATTACATCCTTAAGACGTCAAACAATACATAAAGTATGCATACACACCACCTAGAATTAGTGTTCATTCTCATAATCCAAAGTTATTTTTTTCAAAATTTGACAAACACATATTAGTGTTAATAATGCTTTTTTACAAATCAAGAGCAATTGGATTGGCATCCTTTACAACAAAGTAATGACCACAATCACACCGTTGTGGGTCTCCTTTCTTCACAAGCATCCATTTGATTGAAGTTGCATCTTCTTCACCTGAAAAAAAGGTYAATACATTTATCAATACTCTATTTGTTCAGTCCAAAGCCATTAACTGGTGCTTTGTTTGACAACAGATTCTTTAATGCAAAGACACCACTTAAAAAAAAACAAAAGAAACATTATCTGGTTATTTAACAAAAAAGACTGTTAGCACAAGTTGTTTCATCCAGGTTTTGAACAGTTAGAACAATTCTTAATATTGATTCAGTAGTCATTTTTCTCAGAAAATTATAAGCAAGAAATATAAATATGAAAGATATATGACATGTACTCAAAGAAACCATGGGAAATGCTTTCCATTTTTTTTTCTAGTTATGTATCCTCAAGGCTAGTCATGTATTCTMAAGGTTCCTGTAAAATAAAACAGCAGGTACCCACTTTGAACTGGAAAAATGAGGATTTACACTTTTTCCTAGATGACATATTGTACTTTTAGGTTGTGCTTAGTTGGATTTTTAATGTAAAAGTTGTGACAAAATAAAGTAAAAGACTGCACTCAAACASTTTTAGACACTGGATCTTTTGCTGATCAAATCAGTAAGATTCAAATCTTGATTTATCATTCAATCTTTCTGTCATCATTATTTCCAATTTCCAAAAAATAATACACAATGTAAAAATGCAAACAAAGACATCATGAAAAAACTAGAAAAATGGATAATGGTAGGATGAACAAAAACACTCAGCAGTCCTTAGCTTACAAAAGAAACAATTTAAACATGTATATTAATTTGGAAAAATTCTGAATGCTACTTTATATCATTATATCAAGTGAATCATGGTAAACAGTTGTGTAAAAAGATAAATTTAACGCCATAAAAAAGTAGGTGAAAAAACTTACAGTAACTTGTTTCATCTACTTTTTTATGGTGTTAAATTAATCTTTTTACACAACTGTTTTTTTAGAAACACATAACACTGACAGCTCACACTAATTTGCCGCTAGTAGCCACAATCATGGTTAATTTCACCTTATTTTTACTAAATAAGATTGCAAACCAGTCAAACTCTTTGTAATTATTATCATGCTTAGTGGAATATGGCCATCCCATTATTAGCCAGATTAACGAGCTTTGACTGTATTCAACAGATGACAGATTAAAGGGTTTACTTTTAGCAGTCAGAAGTTTTTAAATGACTGTGTATCAAAACACACTGTTTAGTCTAAACTAAAGTCAGTGATCAGATTATTCAACACCTTCCTTGAATTCAAGAATACAAATGGRGTATGAAGACCAGGAGATAAACACAAAGAAGACCTCTATGCTTRCACTGGAACAACATACTGATCCAAGGTATTCTAGWAYCCTCAGAGAATGGATTGACTTTTACATCATTTCACTTGACACTAAGGCAATATAACTACAATTCATAGGTGATACTTACATACACAGCCCACAATGCGCTCGCCAAAAGCTGATGGCACTATGGTTGGCTTTTCTAATGTTCCTGGTGGACCAGTTGCCATTTCAAGCCTGAATGGATCCTGCAAWGTACAAATAAGTCATGGGAATAGTTAAAAGTAATTGTCAGTGGATTATAATTTGTTAGATTCATGGTTCAGTGTAAACAATAGGGAAGCTTTGAAAACAAGTACAAAGTTGAGTAAGTACCAGAATCTGCATTATTAAGTTTGTTGGTTGAATTACAGTTAACCTTTATTGTTGCTCAGCTGAAATTCCAATGATATAGATCTATCTATATCTAAAATTTTGCACCTCCATGGAATACAAATCCACTTTGAAAACTTGTACTTGTACTTTATCTTGTACTCTCAAAGTTCATTAATTAAATATGATCTCATGGAATCAT